AATTCATTTTTATACACTGGATAGCCACCACCTTTTCCGTCCTTTTTTTCTAAAAAGATCAACATACTTTAGTTGGAACCAGTTGGAACCAGTTTATGCTATCAACCATAACAGGCAACACACTTGACAAAACCCTGGCTTGCCTGTATTTTGGGTTTTGGAGAAAAAAATTTAAATATTCAGCAATATGGAAGAATATTTTTTGAGAATAGATTTTAGGAAGAGGGCCAATTATACAATAATCCATTAGGTTCTTGGAAGTCGTCGACTGGGAAGGTAATCGTGGAATTGTATTCTTTTTAATAACACAACAACAAAAAACCCCATGTCGCTCGCCATTATAACTCTAAGAAAATGAAATTGGTACGTGCACTATAGAATAAGATGGTTCGATATCATTTTTAAAACAGTCTTTGATGTTTGTCTTTTCGTCGAATTTCAGTTGTGTGTGTTCCCATGGTTTCGTCCATATTTTTAGAGCTTATGTTTTGTCACTGTCCAATTGGTATTTTCTGCCTTTTTTCTAACAGGATCATGACACCTTCATTGTAAAACAAAAGCGCGAATATCAAATTCCTAAGATGCATGCTGATTATGTCTCGAGAAATTTAAGCGTTTTAGAAATTACAACAAAAGAGAACTTGATACGAAAATTGTTAAAACTCATTTGAAGAGAGTTACAAACTTTTTAGCTGAAATTATGTCACGATTTTCATATCAAACCTGATTACCTTAAGTCGATATTTGCCATAGTCGATGCAGTTCATGCTGTAATGTGGAGGCCCCCTAAAGGGATTTGTATTTTTTCCTTCAGTGTATAATATTACACACATTTATACTTAATCAGTAGTTTATACTTAAACAGCAGCTTATATTTGATTTTTTATTATCATAATGTTTAATTCCATCGCTGTATAATGCACGTTGTGCCTTTCACCGGACAACGTCGATACTTATAAAGTCCTTGTACCGTTTTATCAACCGTGTTTAGATGTTGGAACTATCAACAAGTGCTAAGGAGGCACAGCTTGTCGTTTCCACGTTTATATTTCAAAGATGTGAAATCAACGTTGTATAAGTATAAAAAGATTTTCCTTTCAATGGAAATAACATAATATTTACGCTAGACAATGTAGTTCCATGTAATTAAATGAATTTCACATGTTCAACTTAACGTTAACACCTGTTGAAATAAGTACTTGTTTGTATAATGAAGACATATGCTGCAAACTTCTTGTTAAACAAGTGAAAAAATACCCCACACATGATTTTGTAGTGAAAATAAATAATGCAAGAGAACTGTAAACTTACACAAACAGACCAAAACAATTGGTTTTCTTGTGTTTTGCTTATTAAACAAAAAAGAAAAGCGAAAGTGCTTTCAGATGCACAAATGAAGGCATTATATTTTGGTCTGAATTTAAATCCTGTACTGAAATTTTTTTAACTTAACTAAAGATTTAGTCTAGACATTTCGAATTATACATACAAAAAGGATACATAACAGCTACTTTTACTTTCTATCTGCATTTTTACATACATAGGCGAAATGCGACTACGTAGATTAACTTTTTTCATTATTATGTCCTGATAAAAACTCGAATGAACTTATTGTCGAGATTCGATGTCATAGATACTATAACGTAATATGAATATTATGTCGAATATAAAAATGACATCCTCTCATTGAATTATACAACGTTTGATGAATGTGTTTACAAATTTGTCAAAAAAAACAGATACAGTTAGGTCAAACAATGTTAATCAAACGTTATTTATTACGTTTACTCTGAAAAAAGTAAGTTCTATTGTATCAACCAGGACACTGCTACAAAACTACAGACAATTTGGTCTGCGTCATAAACAGAGGCAGCAGATACCAATTGGGAAATTACATTGACAATAAAGGATGGTCACCACTTTGCCATTATAAACTTTTTTATTTCTATGTAATAGCATAGCAACTGTACAGTGTGGTATATATTTTTCATTTGATACTGTATCACATGTCTTGATTTTCCTGAAAGAGTGTTGATGCTTGTATCGTGAAGTTCAAAAGTTTTACGGACTTCATCATCGTTGGATTGACCATTGGACATCTGTGTCAAAGACGACCATGGATATCTTCAATTTGTCGCAGCCACAATCCTCTCGTTCTTTCTTTATTCAGGGTATCATCGATCTCGATTTAACATCATATTTGCATATGATGTACTACGCGACGAATGCAAGGGATCTATTTATGCAGAAACTACTTTCCTTTCCTGAGCACCTGAATTCTGCCGGTGTTTGGTTGGTTTTAAGTTACTCAATCGTTGATTCTTCAGTGTTTTCATCAGTGTTTTTCTTACCGTCTCTTATGTTTTAGCAAAGGTGTTATATCTTTCTGTCTTTTATTTTTTAATTCCATGCGTTTTGTCTTTCCGTATTTTAATGTTCAGTCAAGTAGCTTGTCTTTTTTCAACTCATCGTTCTAGATTCCTCTTAATAATTTTATTTTGTATCGGAGAGGGCTTGAGAAGGTTATTTGAAATACGTAACATACCGACACATATGTCTTTCACTCCGTGTGTTGGTTATGCGGTTAAATTCAGTCATACTTTCGGTTCGAAAAACATTTCAAACAGAATACGGTATGCTATCTTCAAGCATTCTCTGTCTCCCTAAGGAAAAACTTGTGATATCTTTAAACCAGTCTTTCACTCAGTGTGTTGGTTATGCGGTTATATTCAGTTGCTTTTTTTAAAGTACTTTCGGTTCGTAAAACATTTCAAACAAATTATCTTCAAGCATTCTCTTTCTCCCTAAGGAAAAACTTGTGATATCTTTAAACCATATTATTTCTGTTTTGTTTGTCTAAATGATAAACTTTGAAAGTAAACATCAGCATGTTTATTGTGTCTGTAACTTGAGAAAAACATTATTATCCATGTCAGGACTTCACTAGTTGAATTTGAGGAACGAACAAATCAAGAAGTAGGGACAGCTAAAGTATTTTTCTCCTTCCAACTGAAATTCCTTTGGAGACATGTTTTATTAGAAACAGTGATATAATATCTGTTCCTGTTGAAACAACTATTCCACACTTTTTCCCGTCTGAAACAAATACTGTAATATTTCTTCCTGTGGAGTTGTAGTTCGAGACTATTTCTGCCATTTTTGAAACACACAGGCAGACCGTCAAATCAGTGTTTTGTTTATGATATAAATTTAATTTTTTCCATAAAAATATTTATTATTCACATTCTATTATTTTCCTGTTTATTGTACAGAGGCAAGGGAACAAAACATTATATTATTTCAATAATGAAATTGTCATAATTATATATGTTGATGCTTCTAAATAAATTTGTAAAATTGAAAATTAACTTAACTTAAAAAAGGTTTTGTGAACCAAGTTATAAATATTTGACAAACATCCTTCTGATTTACCTGGGACATAATATTATTACAAAAGCTATTTTTAGTGACAATGTACTTTTTGCTCCCGGCTGTATGTCAACACCTTTACTATACAGACGGTCACGTGATTACATCAAACATGGACATATCACTTCTTCAACCTGAATGAAGATAAATTTTGTATTACTTGACGACAATTTAATTTAACACAAATAAATTCATCGCGTCAAATGTTGCACTACACAGTGCAAACTGGAAATTTATAGACGCGAAGACTGCTATATGTCATTTGTTGGTAAAATTTTAAAATTTTAATCTATTTTTTCACAAATATGTTTTGACATGTGACCATCTCGATCGGCAGACTGTTTGCACCTTCTTTGTGATTCGCATAAGCATGTTTAGGCGGACTTCTGATAGCTTGTGTTGCATACAACCGAGATCTAAAGAGCTGTCCTGGGCTGCTTAAGGTTTATGTATTTCATGTAATTTGAAATAAAAGATGTTATTCACAAACAAACAAAATATGAATCAACCACATTTAAAAGTAAAATAAAAAAACAGTATTGCTATCATCATATTATCTATATTGTAAATTTTTAAAAATTGATATAATTTCAGATTTTTAAAATTCTATACAATTTTACTGTGGTTGTAATAAATAAATATTGTAATAATGAAATAATGCTGTTGCTTTTCTGCAACTGATAAACGGGCTCTATTTTGTACTCATAAAAGTATCGTTTGAAAGTATATCAACCTAACTCGTCTATTTATGAAATAGTTTTATATGCCAGCAGCACGCATTCATCATTATTCAAGTTTATCATCCTATAAGCTCTTAAAATTGTGCTTTAACTAAACATTGGTGTAATTCTCACACATATAATAGGGTCACCAACCGATATCAGACTACTTTTATAAGAGTAAAACTCTTCTTGAAAATAAACATTTCCCTAACGTTTCCTCTCTCTTGTGCAACCCTGCACATTTTGTCAAACAATTTTAATCACACATTATAGAAAAGGAGAAGGTCTTTTGTAACTGTGAAAGCACTTAGATGTATTTCTAAAGTGCGTTAGAGCCTACCAAATAATCAATAAATATATTTATTTAGTCTTACATTTCGTTTTTCATCACTTATTTGTTCTATTTGTGTGTTACAAATAGATAATACGATATTTTATCACCTGAATGTCAGATGACCTTAATTCACCCTTACAGAGAGACAACGTAAATCAGCTAAACATCCTAATCATTGAAGCGTTAACAAATACAACATACCACTACGGATTATTGACAATTTTATTCTCAACACTTCCAAATAAGGGACTTTACAATTCTTGTCAAAGCAAGTTGTATTGATTGTATGGTAAAATCATCAATACGCTATACACATTATTGAGAAATCTCCAGTTCTATAATTGCTTCAATGTTCCTATTTTTAGCACTACTGCTTGCGAAAAAGAGATTAAGGCATACGTAAGCATTCTATGTTCGCTACAATGGTTAAATGATTCTAGAATACCCCTATCGTAAGCCTGATTGGTAGTCTTTGTAGTTTATTGTTGTTTAATATGTATGTTTCTGTTCTATAGATAGATCGTCTGCGTCAGACGCAGTATCGACCGTCTAATGAGCTTCACACAGCAGCCATTGACATCAAGTAACTCTAACCAACCATGCAGAATATTAAAGAACAGCCAATCAGAAACGCCGTTACATCTATACCAATTACCTGGAATGTGTATTGAAATGTGGTGACGTACGAATTGATGCTGTGTGACGTCACTGGTTGTTCCCCAAGACCTTGTTACGATGATGTTGAAATATATACACACGATGGCCCAGTTTTCATTGATGTTTGAGTTAGATTGCGAACTATTCGGATGCATGGAGTACTTCGTATATGAGGGACTAGTATTGCTTTATAAAACAATCTGGATTATTACCAAGGATATACTGGAGTGTCACAAATTGATAATACATTGGATAATTCTCAGCAAAATATTCAAGGTAAGGAACTTAGAGTATTTTAGCATTGAAAGTCAACAATAGTATTAAGTGTTTGTCTTAGATTTATTATAATTTCTTTTTTGATAAGTTACTATTGTAAATAGAATTAACACTTATATTTTTTTATAATATGTATCATTGATTTTGCTAATTCTTTTTAGCGAGATACAACTTTTCTATAAAATGGTTAGCACCTTTTACTTTTAGTAACCAAAGGTCAATATTTTGAAACGACCACCTGTTCTACAAATCGCCGCGACAGTTCTTAATTTCCTGATTATAAAATTCATATGCAAGGTTTTATGGTAATATTATTGATAATACAAACAAGTATAAAAATTGTAGGAATTACATTGAAATCTGTTTGTGTTTATAAATTTACTGTGTTGATAAAGGTGTATTATAGCCACTTTACTTTCTTGAAATAGTTTTTTTTATTTTATTTCGCTAATAATTATTGCTTAATGTGTACTAATTTATATATACTGTGCAATGGTTTGAATTCAATGAATTATTTTGTCTAACAGACGAAAAAACTAAAACTTGCGGGTACCAGATCAAACAGAATACAAAACGGCAATTAACAATACCATAGTCATTACATAACTGCAAACTATTTAGGTTCAAATTGATGTTACTCGTCCTTTGCATTTTGTTTTTGCTACCTTCTTATTTTTATGGCACATTATTTTTTATTCAAAATTTTCTGTTGGTATGAAGTAGGGTACTGTAAAGTTTATAATATAAACAAAGAAACATTATTTGAGGAAAAGTTTCGTTATTATCCAAAAGGGTCTTCAAATACAGTAGATGTGTTCAAATGGGTATTATATTGAAACACAAAGAATTTGATCAAAAAGGGAGGTGCAAGACACCAACCTAATCAGCTAGTAAGACACAAGTTGATGTTGAGCAAACACAGGGTCCATACAAGTGTTTTCGTTAGATACTAATTCGTCTAGCTCCTATGTGAGCAAACAGGGTTTCATGTATTGGATTAAAGGGAAATGTGTATTGACTGTATTTGTTTATACACATAAGTAAAAATAGGTTAATATTGACTATTCTTATTGCACGAGGTTTAAAGTTACATTTAGCAAGAAAGAGTGACACGTTCCATACAATACTAGTTTATACACCTTTTAAAACTCGTGCATTTTAAGCAAATCTTGGGTTTTTCCTGTTTAGCAAAAATGAAATATATAATATTGATTTATAATGTTGATCGATGGTGTGTTGTGAATAAAACACGACTATTTTTTTCCATTTGTAATTTACTTGTAATTAGATATGTATATTACGGCACGATCAAAATTCCTGTCTTGCAATATAAAAATGAAATTTTACATGCACCAAACCTAGTATAAACATGAAAATATGGATAATAAGCAAACAAAAAATAGCATATATCTGCAATATGTGTAACTTATCTGAGACATGTTAGAATGTAGACTCTCGCTTGTTTACAATGCTGTTTAAATAAGAAGCGATTTTTCAGATTTGAATTGCACACTGTTTGAGTGTCATACATTTTATACAACAAACAAAAACTCAGAGTATATTAGAATAAGTTAAATGATTCTATACTTCGCTCCATTTGACATTTAATTGATTGTCGTTTATTGTTAATTACTGAGAATTTTTTGTCAACTTTCAGAACATTCAAGAGTGATCAGGAACGATAACTCTGACATTATTGATTTGTTGGGGGAGTCGATACCTAATACAATTAATAAGAAAAGGAGACATATAAAGCATCGGGATATACAATGATTTTATTTACAATGGATTAGGTTAACTAAAAGCTACATGCAGGGTATGACTATTTAGTTTTTAAATAAGGTTTTGGGGGACACTTTGAATATCATAAGAAATGATTGCTGTTATGTACGATCTTTAAATACGTGGTTTTGAACTATACGTAGTACATAGGAAAAACAATTCTTTTAATTTGATTGGATAAGCGAGATTTATAGTTTTTTTTATATAAAGGAAAAATAAAAGATACAGTGGTGCAATTTTAAATGGTATGTTAATTTCGTTTATATTCTTTGATTCATTGACAATGTATAAAATCGAAAACGAAATGTACCTTAATATTTTTTTATAAAGTTGTGAAGACTAAAAACTTACCGAAGTGACTTATTTAAGGATTGTTATAATCATATTTTAATCATGCAGTACCAAAAGTCATATTAGCATTATGTTCAATATTCAATATTCAATTTCGCTGAAAAAAAAATGTTATACCTGATTGTACTCAAAAGATATCCATTCCAGACAACTAAATGGTTTTATGTGGATGAAAACATATGAATCGGGATTAGACAAAACAACCGTAATAACTGCTTAAAAACTATTCTCTTTTATTGTAATTTGATGTGCATTTTATACAGTGTCTGCATATAGATAATCTTTTAAATCTCTTTGATGAAATTTATCTGTACTTCATTTATCTCTCTGTTTGGTACACTTATTTTTACTTTATTGTTAAAATGCCTGTAGCATTGACAATTTCGCTGTGATGTTTTATTAAATATGGCAAAATATGTATGCAAAAATTTGTGTCTGAATCATACAATATAATGTTGCATTTGCACTTGATTTTTTTTAAAAACTATTAGTAAATAGGGGTAATTGCAGAAAACTATATACAACCAAGCGGAGCGAGTCGAGTCGAAACCTTGAACGATTTTATGCCAATAATTATATTTTTCCGATCAAAAAGCTACTACGGTTTCTCCTGAATCCACCACTGAATAGTGCTGATGTCATTGACTAAGCTTAGGCCTTTAATAGGTTTTTTCTTAGATTTTTTACATTTAATTCCTAAATGGAACTGAAGTACTTGCATTCAATTTTTATTTAGAAGCTGACTGGCGCAAATTGTTAAATAGTCTTGATGGTATTAACTAAATTTCGGCATTTAGTATATTTTTGGGATGGTATACATTTTATTTTCCCGCTTGTGAATACTTTAAAATTTTATTTTTTTTTCAATTTAATGAAAGTTTCTACTCTCACGCCCTTAAAAGTTGTTAATATCTGTCATATTTACAACACCCTCTCCCCCTTTGACATACACACCCATGTATTTTCTTATTGGACTCAAAATAACTTCTTAAACAAATTGAAAATAAAAATCATAGTCTAGAGAATTTCTATCTCCTTTCCGTATTGTGCATAAATCTTTTTTTATGCATACTAAAGGCATAAGTTACATTATAAAATTGGCATACTTAATGGTATGTTTTGAAAATCGTTGCCCATCTGTTTGTTTTACAATTCGCAGATGGACCATAATACATATATTTTCGAATACAATCAGCCTATGTGACGTAAGCAATCGAAGAAAATATTGTATTCGTAATGAAATTTCCAATAAATCATAGCAATTGATAACAATTAAGACGTTTATTAAACCCACCTTGCTTCAAAATATATTCCAACTGCAATATCTGTTTTGGTTATTGTTTATATCTGACAACATTAAATGCAAAAGTTCTGAAGGAGTTTTGATGACTTGTACTGTTAATTAGATAGTTAAACTCTCTATTTTACAATGAAAACTAATAGTGATTATAAAAGCAGCCTTCTTATGGTGTTTCAATCAATCGAAAAAATACGGCGTTTCGTGAAGATTTTCAAAGAAACTATAAATTTGCCTTGTTTTGCTGGACTTTTATGCATGCACTTTCTTTTTGCAATGCAAATCTCTTGAATTCTCACATTTAAGCAATTTTCAAACATGGGTTCCGGAGTACCTACCTTAGATCGCCCGAAGTTGTTGATGGAGTTCATGTTGCCCAGTCTTTACTTTTCTTTGCGGTGTTTAGTTGGCTTGTTTGTGTTTTCGTATTATAAATGCATGTACGGGGGTCCTCCTATCTACAAACATACTTTTTCCTTATTTTTATAATAAAAAAAAAATCGAAGAATATTTTTTTTTAAATATTTTTAGCAAGTTTTTATTAACTTTCATACGATTTTATCAAGTATTACAGACACAGGTTATAAGAACTAAAAACGTTTATCAAGTGTAAAATAAATTATAAAGAATGCAATAATAGCGACAAGAGTATGTACATGTTGCACCGAAGAACGGGACGAACCCCACTAAGGGTCATTTAAATATGCACAAGGTCTGCAATTGTAAATTGAAAACTGTTAATTTGTCAACACGTTGCAATCATGTCGATGTAATTTATAATTCTATTGTGTACTTTGCTGCATCGTTTGCAACCTGCCAAATTTTGATGCATTTACCTATTTACCTAACGGAAAAAATAGTGATCGTGAAATAACAGTTAAAGGGAAACAACTCGAATTCATTTCATGGAAAGAAGTAGAGTTCGCATGTTCACAGTTTCAACGATATCGATAATATCGTATTTTTCTGCAGAGAATCAATTAATTTGAACCGTATATATATAAACGTTGATAAAATTCAATTGTTATTGAAACAATCTGATTGAAATCCGGTTTTGTGATACGTTACGCTCTCTCTAAAGGTGGAGAGTATCGGAGCGAAAACCTACAGGTTACTTTAGTAACTGAACTTTCTTCGATAAAAACTTAGAGTCCGCAAAATCAAACGGTTTATAGATACGTGAGTAGCTATTTTATCAAACGGCACCTTATACATAGAATTATTCATTATATGTATTTTTTCAAGCGAAGTTTACTTTGGATGATTTTGAAAGTTTTGATTATACCTTTTTTTTTCGAAATTTTTTGTTTCGAACGGACCACATGAAGGTTTATCTACGAATTCGTGTTATGCATACAGAAATCTTACTATGATACGTTTAATGCTAATTTTTAAACAGTCTTCGGGCAACTTACCGAGTATATATGATATATTTTAATTGAAAATTATGACTGTTCAACATAAGATACGCATGGATAACACTTTATTTATGGAATAGATTCAATCAAATCTAAGCACATTAAGAGATATTTCGACATAGTGTCATTCCCAAATTAACAAAGTTAATCACACCTTTATCCTTTGGTCTGTATTTACAGTCCATTGGCAACTATTCATTTATACCACATCTCCTTATTTTGGTATTAAATTTATTAATTGTGCATATTATTTGCGTATTATCTCCTGTATTGTTGAACCATTTAAGGAAGTCACTCCCATTTATATTCATTTTACGTAAAGTCTGCAGGTGATTGACATCTTGCAGTCCAAGGTGTTAAGTCTACATGTAAAGAAAGTAAACCTCAATTTTCTTGTCCACACCAATGCGATGACCAGCGTGCGTCAAGAAATTCTGGCGTAATAGCAAAAACTCGATATAGTTGTAACTCATCCAATGAGAAAATCAGGCTCGCCCATTGGGCAGTTAACTAATTGAACATGGGGATAAAATCTAGAAACACTTTTAAAATTGGATAATTTCATTCTCAACATGTCATCAATTATGAATGGAAATTTTTATCATCGAAGACCAGTTATTAAAAGAGAACCACCATTTAATGCATGCGTTTTGTATAATCTTGGTAAGTCAATGCATGAGTTTTATATGGTTATAATATAAATAGAACCGATAGAAATTATAAGCTTAATAATATTTTTAAACCTAAATTTATAAAAGTAAGGAAAAATTTATCAAACCTTATGTTGATTGTTTCAATATTTAGCAAAATACTTCAAATGCAATTTTAACAAGATATTATATATGTTTGTGCCATTAAATAAATATTAGCCAAACTCATAAACAGAGAAACAGAATTGTTAAACAAATCGCTAATGTTACACAAAAGTCACTGATAGATTGAGTATTTTTCAATATCTATAATATTTACAAAACTTGTTTTTAAGAAAGTTATTGTGTTTTTATGATAGCAAATTAAAAACCTTCGAGGGCACTTTATCAAAGTTTAAAATACATAACATATGTTGTAGAAAATGACGACTCGTGCAAGTCACGTGCTTTTGATCGAGAACGTATGCAGTCGTGATGTTGTGTTACATTTCATAAAATCTTTAACCACAACTAACTTTAATAAAGTATTATCTATAGTATGATTCCTAGTTAGAATGTAACACTTTCAAATCGTAACGGTTAGTGACAAATTTTTGTATTGATTGAACACTTTCATATTTTATAAAAAATATATTTATATATTTATTTTAAATGTTTATTTTAAATTTTAATATTACTTCTTTTGAAATTTCCAAATGTTGGCGAATACAAAATAAATATCAAACACGGTCAGGCATGATCTTTCAGTTGGCCATTTTTCATTCCTTAATACCTTAAATATTGCCAGAACCCAACTTAAACTACTCCTTAGCCTGATCATTATGTAGTTAGAAATTGGTGAAAGAACAAGAGAAATAAACCTGCAGCATGTATTGTTAGTACAGAGTCCCCATCAGTTTAATTTGTGTGTGTGTGTGTACGTTATTCAAAACATCTAAAAACTGTATATATAGTTACAGATTCATTACATCATATTCTTTTTTCGCAAAATAACTTATGTTTAAAATCTTATTTTATATTACCAGATTCATCACAGCGTGTCCCAGCTTCTCCAAGACGCCATTCACTAAGTGTGACTTCTTCTTCGCAGCAATCACCATCAACAACCACCATTACATCATCAACGGAACAAATGTTACTTCTACAGCCTCAGGTAATTTACATGTTACTTTTACATCCCCAGGTAATTTGCATGTTACCTTTACAGTCACATGTAAATTTGGTCATACATATTTTAACGTGTCTACGTATTTATGCATCCCTGGCTTTTCAAATGTTCGGTTTGAGCGTTCCTGAGGTTAATCAAGAAAAGCGCTTCGAATGCATGACATTTATATTTAAATTTTCATTTACATGTTAGTTTTACAATTAAATATAACTAAATGTTATTTCTACCATTTGCTAGTAATTATTTATATATATTACATCATTAACGGAACAAAATGGGTTTTCTCATTGTTAAAGGCCGTACGGTGACCTATAATTGCCACTTCATTTGAACTCTGGTGGATAGTTGTCTCATTACCGGGCAATCATACCACATTTCCTTATTTTTATATAAAAGTTACTTCTACGACACAGGTAATTTACATGTTACTTTTGTAACCACATGTATTTCACATGTTATTTTTGCAACCACATGTATTTCACATGTTACTTTTAATAACTAAGTGGTTTTCTTTTTACATTTACTGGTATAATTATATGTGGAAGAAAACGCGCTACGTCCACATAAAAAATGCATACTTATAAAAGAAAACCTTGACGGCTTAAGATATATAAAAAAACCACGGATATACAAGACAAAGACATACATCATATATTTGATGTTTATTAGTATATATAATTGACCACTATTGACCTCACTTTCACAAGGACAGCTTTGTGTAGAAAAAACAATCTAAACAAAATATTTTATCATGAATTCAGATGTTTTCATTGACACCTTATATAGTATTACAAAATTTATTTTATCATTTTTCAAGGTTAAACCAACCTTCCTCTGTTAACGTCGTTATAGTTTAAAAGACAGGGTAGATTTTCTTCACAATAACATGATAGACTAAGGACCCAAGTCCTAAATTGTTTTTTTTGTCGGTTTTGGTCGGTAAAATGGTGTCAAAAGTTATCTTGAACGAAACAGTCCAATCTTAAACTAGAATTACATTTCGAAAGTGATTAAAGTGTTCGCATATCAAGTGAAAAGTATTGTAACTTGACTTAGTCATTAGAATCATGTGAAAGCTTTTTTCCAACTTTATTTTATAACATCAGTTTCATTTTCTTTACGCAAAATAGACGAGCTTTATTTTCTTCAAACAAAAAGTTTAAGTTTAATATGATTTTAACAACCATAATGGAATTAGATTATCAGTAAAACGAAATGTAAGTCTGTTGTTTGAAGAGTTTGAAGAACATAATAAATTCGTTTAATATTGCGAAATTACTTGTAAAGCGAACTTGACTTTTACGGTTATTAATTTCATGAACAATGGATTTCAACCATATGGTTAATGTCACATGCTCAAGTAATAATGAGTAGAGGGCACACTCCGTTAAAGTCTTGCACACTTATTTATAACACCAATATTAATTTAAGTAATTAGAATATTAATTTCTTGTATTTGTTTCATAAATCCGGACACGTGTTTAAGAATGCGATAAAAGTTCGATGCCTTCGTATACGAAGAGTGTTCCTCGAACGTCAACGTCTAACATCAAATGACATAAATTTTAATGTCATGTGCAAAAGTAGTGTGAAAACTTAATTGCCGTGAAACCACAGAATTATATATTACAGCGATAGACAACCACTTGATGTGTATTAAAAACGCAGTGGTGTATTGTAAATGTATAAATGACCAAGTGCACGTGCGAAATTTCTAAAGTATTCGATAATAATTTCTGTCGATTACATGTATTGGTTTTGCTTAATAGAATAAATTAATTAAAATTCGGTATTTATTCAACCATGCAAAAAACACGTACACCTTTTGTACACATACAAACACAAAAGCTATGAATGGACACGAACATACCTCAATGGTTACTATATTTAAAAAAGAGTGCTTATAAATTAAGTAACAAACTTACTCTGATTCTAGCAATAGTACAATTTATACTTTCAAAATAACCTTTCTGCCTTGTTTTGTAAGTTTTTTTTTTCACATTCAGTAATGTTATATATTTCCGTACACCTTTACTAGAAACAATGTCCACATTACTAGAAACAATGTCGAAAATTTGCCTAACTTTAAAAAAAAAAATACATTGTCAATTAAAGCCATAAGTTATAATAAAGATATTTTTGGTGCATATTGTTGGTGCCTAAAAATGCCAAAACTTAAAACCCACCAATGAAGAAATTCGATGTAGTTAATTTAAAAAGGAATAACTGAAATTTTAACTAGTTTGGTTTTTTTTTCTTCTTTGACGTTCTTGTAAGGTTTGATCTTGACCAATATATAATTGGTCAATATTTCTCGCACCTTGTGATTGTTTTATGCTGACATTTAACTAAGGGGTCAACCTTTCTCGCAGCTTGTCTTATATTCGCATGGAGCATACGAACGTCACCACCAGCATATATAACACAGCGGCTTTTAAAAGTCAAACATTATTTCATTTGAAACTTGCTTTTGAATTAGCTGCTGTTAACAAAACGAATATTTATTTGTTTTCTGTTTTCAGGCTGCCTTCACTTCTCAAGCCAGTTTTCTGGGAGATTTGCCGGCACCGTTTGCTTCGTGCGGCACACAGTCTGGTAGTGCGGACATCGGAATATTTCCATCATCTTCAGGATTTCAAGGAACAATGCCTTCGGATACATCATACACGTCAGAAGATATTCCTTCCGACATTTTTCAGGGCGGCTTTGACTCATCTGCTTTTCAAAACATACAACAAGGCTATCCAGAAACCTACAGTTACGAAGGAGCATTCATGGTGGACAAAGAGTCAGCTAAACAGCTGGGAGCTATGTATTCAACGGAAAATCAAAGTTTCCCAGGATCACAACCAAAGTATTCCGACTCCATGATGTCTTATGAAGGCAGTTTTCAAGCATTTCCGGCACAGGATTGTGACTTATTACCACAAAGATACATCAGTGACACTAAACAAAAATTCACTTATCCATCACCTCATGAACTCTTCCAATCACCTCATATTGGATATTCCGAAATCGATCAAAAACATCCGCCATTCAGTTCTCATCAAAGTTTTAGTGATGCTTCAAACATTTTTTGCAGAGACAGAAGCAGTTTTCCTAGTTACGGTCCGGGTTTTTATGACAACCGAAGTTTACCTCACACGGAGACTGACAGGACTCATTATCGTCCTGGAGATTTAAATGTTGTTCGTCAAGGTTTCTCCCGTAGACCGCCTCTGACGATTCCCATGCCTCCTGGTACTCCAGAAGGGTAAGTTGACTTGAAATCAATTATACAATTATTACTTTTTTTTTTCCAATTCTATTTTTGCTGCTTAAGAGAGGCGACATATACCAAAGGGAAATTTAAACTCATAAAGTCGAAAATAAACTGACAACGCCATGGCTAAAAAAGAAAAAGACAAACTGACAAACAATAGTACACAAAAAACTACATAGAAAACTAAAGACTGAGCAACACGACCCTCACAAAAACTTGGGGTGAAATCAGGTGCTCCGGAAGGGTATATATACTTCGCTGACTCTTTAGTAACCTTTGCCGAATGTATCCTCACTTATCTTTGAAATGTCATTTCTGATAATAGAAAAGCATTATATTAGAAATGCTATTTTCAAAATACAAATCTGTTAATTTTTTTCTTCTTCTGTCATTGATTTTGTTATAGCCATGACTTTTAAAAGTTAATACATGTTTTCAATCATTACAGAATGGATGTACAGAAATTTCATATCAAATCCCCAGCAACCCCTTCCACGCCGAGTTCCACAAGGTCTTCCCCTGGGAGGGAACAACCACAGAAAGAGAGTCTATTGTGTGCAGTTTGTGGCGACAACGCTGCTTGTCAGCATTATGGAGTAAGAACATGTGAAGGATGCAAGGGATTTTTCAAGGTAAGAGGAAACAATATTTCTAGATTTTATTTTTATATGCTTCTTCCAGAACTGTTGTCTTTTTTTTAGTTATAACAAGATAATAGTGGTGATTTTTTTAATATTAGATTTTTTTAATATGGAAATATTTGAAGTTGAATTATTAAAAGAATAAAAAGTACAAAATTATTAAACGAAAATACCGTTAAATTTTTTTTTTATTTTTGATTTGCCTTTTCCACAACAGTTGTCTCTATTAGTAATACGTGGAAAATAAGCAGATTGGTTTTTTCCCCAGAAGAGAATTTTTTAATAGAGAAATGTTTGAATTTGAAATAAAGAATAAAAGTAAAAAATTGTTTAACGAAAATACCGTACATGTTTGTTTAATTCCATTACTCTTTAATTTGAGAATGTCTACATCTGCAATGTTGTTACAAATCTGTTATGTATTCGTAAGTAATACTTGTTGCTCACATTAGACAAGTAGCTTACAGTCGATCTATCTTTTAATATAAACCTGTTTTTCTTAAACAGAGGACAGTACAGAAAAACGCCAAGTACGTGTGTCTGGCCGATAAAAATTGTCCAGTGGATAAGAGAAGGCGAAACAGGTGCCAGTTTTGCCGATTCCAAAAATGTCTGGTTGTTGGCATGGTGAAAGAAGGTACGTTCATTTTCATTTTCAGTATTTTTTGTAATTAAATTTTGTGATATAATTTTCATTTATACTAATCTTTGTAATTCTACAGAACTTTAAAATGTAGCTAAAAACTTAAGGATCACGAACATTCGTGTAAATATTTATTTCACTTGGTTAAGTATAGTTTTCTTTTTCATTGGCTTCATTGTGAGAAGAAAACCCTTCTGTAATTTTGTAAGTGTTACAAAGATGATAAAAAGTGTCATTTTTTATAGTTGTAAGAACAGACAGTTTAAAGGGCAGACGTGGTCGGCTTCCATCAAAGCCAAAAAGTCCACAAGAATCACCACCTTCACCCCCAGTCAGCCTCATTACTGCTTTGGTCCGAGCACATGTAGACTCTTCCCCAGACATTCCAAATCTGGACTACAGTAAGGTAAGCTATGCTTATATGCTATGTCTGTATGCCATTTTGTCTTTCTTTGTTGAAATATTTGTTCGTTTTTATAGTGATTAAGATTATAACACAATGTTGACTGCTGTACCCCTGTTTTTGACATTTTTACCTATTATATCTGCTTTTTTTGGTCACACATTGTTGTCAATATAATGGAATTTTATGCGACTGTCGTACAAGTGAGAGGTTTAGCTAGCTATAAAACCAGGTTTAATCCACCATTTTTTTCATAAGGAAATGCCTGTACCAAGTCAGGAATATGACAGTTGTTTTACATTCGTTTGATGTGTTTGAGCTTTTGAGTTTGCCATTTGATAAGGGACTTTCTGATTTGAATTTTCCTTGGAGTTCGGTATTTTTGTTATTTTACTTTTTTCTAGCATACATTATAAAGTACTATTGAAAATAATTATTAGATCACAAATAAGTATAAATAAAAAGATGTGGTATGAGTGCCAATGAGACAACTCTCCATCAAAGTCACAATGTATAAAAAGTTAACAATTTTAGGTCAAAGTACGTATGTTTCGTCGTCATTCATTATAATGGTAAGACTAAATTTGAGAAAGACAGTAGTTTACCGATGTTCAAAACTCATAAATGATTTAAGAAAATACAAATCAAGGTTAAACACGAAATCTGAGGGAATTTTATTACCTTCAAAATGAGCAAGATCGGGTGTGGCGACAGGATAAGCATCTCCTGCTATGAATGCATCATTGCCAGGCGAATCATCTGAAATTTCAATGATATATTGGTTTTGCTCGTATCAAATACATTACAGCTGATGTGGATGTTGTTCTCTATATCGCGATTAATTTAAATCTATCTTTTTCCAAAAGGATTATCTCCCTTTCGTGTATGCTTTAATGACAATTCATGTAAATATTCAAAATGAAAATTTTAAAATACATGCCATAATAGTAAAACAAAGTATCTTTATTACATGAACATTATTAAAACAACTGGTTTTTTTATTTACCAACAGTTTGAAGTGCCTTCAGGTTCAACAAGCCCAACCTCACATGAAGAAAAAATCAGGCTTTTCTATGATATTATCCTTACCTCCATGGATATACTTAAAGCATGGGCAGAAAAAATTCCTGGCTTCTGTGACCTGTGCAAAGAAGATCAAGATCTCCTTTTCAAATCAGCATCATTAGAACTCTTTGTTTTGCGGATAGCTTACAGGTAAGTTACAAAATACGTTCTATATGTAAAATGTGGTAGAAGGACAAAATACAAAACTTTGTGAATTGCAAACTTAACTACAGATTCTTATGATGTGGAACAAGGACCAATTCATTTAGTTAAGATAAGTGAATCGTGAATAGTTGTCTTTTGGACTTGTTATTAAAATAAGTTCCCTATAATTACTTACCAATTCTGCCAGTTGCTGTGTATATCTTCAATTTGAGAGAACTTTGCAGCTTTAATGATTTGATTATTAGAATGTACATCAAATATAAATTAAATATAATCACAGTAAAATATTTAAATTCAATGTCTTATCTATCAAACTAACAATCTGTAATTATAATTTCAGAGTGCATCCTAATGATGATCAGATAATTTTTGACAATGGCCAGGTATTCCACAGAGACGAGATCAGAAGTATATTTGGAGAATGGATTGATTCCATAGTAGACTTTGGACTGTCTCTCCACAGAAACAATCTAGACATCTCATCACTTGCTTGTATGGCAGCTCTTACTCTAGTCACAAGTAAGGCATCTTAGTTTACTATTGTTTCAAAATTTATTATCTCTCTTTGTATAGCTTTTTCTGTTCATGGAACATAAAGTTATTAAGTTTCTCTCATACTTCAACACGTATTTATTCGTTTCTTTGTATATTGCGACCCCTTTGATTTTTGCAACGTTGATGGTTGGTGTTGTCGGTTGTGTGGCCAATATTTTTGAAAATTCCTGTTATTCTTTTTGTGTATTATTCATTTCGCTACATTATCCAATAGAATTAAAGTTACTAACAATGTTTCATTAACATTTCAATTCTTTTTAAAAAAAGTAAAATGAAATGGATATATAACTATCGAAGAAATCGAAAACATCTGTTATAACATAGAGGAATAAATATGCAGTACGAATACAAAAGGTGGAAGGGACTCATCAAAAGAAATGATACAGGACAAGAAAAGACTTCAAGTACAAAGAGGTTTTGGACAAATCGTATTTTACTCAAAATCAGAATAATTGGTTAACAATATAAAAAATATAAACATCTAGCCAGTCTTTGATGTATTGTCATGGCCATACGTTATAATTGTGTTCATTTTTTTTGCAGCACGGCATGGAGTCAAAGATCAAAAGAAAATGGAAGATTTACAAATGAAAATTATAGACTGTTTGCGTGATCATTGTACCTACAACAGTGAAGCACAGAAAAAGCCACATTTATTTTCCTATATTCTTAGTACAGAAGCAGAACTTAGAACATTAAGCCGAGAAGGGCTCCAACGAATGTTGTTTTTTAAACTCGAAGACATTTTTCAGGCCCCACCTATCATTGAAGATACTTACTTATCAAGTGCACTACCATTTTAAATTAGCATTCGTGACGTCATTCATTATGGATGAGAATGACGTGGATGTTAGTATTGACATGTGAACGGATATTTTTTCATCAAACAACATTATATGCCTGTGAAAAATTGATAAATAGAAACAAATATTATTATGTTTAATTTCAAATTTATATTACAAAATGATACTTTATGACACACATTTTAGGTTTCTGGTAACTGGAAGGACTGGAAATCAAATTCCCTGTTTTAAAATCTAATGCATTCAGGGTAATATGTTCAAAAGCATACACCAAAACACCAAAAACAATGGAATTGTTAACCAATGACATGACATTATTTCAAAATTTTGGTTCGAACAATGAAATTACCCACAGTCCTTTAGTTTATAAAACGGAAAGTTGATGAAGTCATTGTATCACTTAATAGTGCTACTTTTTATATAGTGCTAGGTTGTAATAAACAATGTTTTTTTTCTCGAGAAAACATTAGTGATAATATGTTCAGATTTTACTTTGCAGATGTTACTTATCAGTGTGAAAAAGACATTTCGATTGCTAAACAATCTGTCTTTAGGTGGTATCAAACACCTTGACTAAAATTAATTTGGCTCGTTTAATTTTCATAAAATTTTGACAAAATATTTAATTTTACCCTTTGACAAAAACATAAAAATTTCAAAAAACTTGAACCACACACTTTATCGGAAAAATTTCATTGGATTTATAGCAGTTTGACAAACACTAATTTTGATCATTGAGAAGCTTAATATTTCCTTAACAATAGAACGTGATTAAAGCGTTCAGCTGAATTTTACAGAGTGATCTCCCTGTAGTGTTATGTACCACCTTAATGGTTAAATGCTTTTTCATATATCTACAATTATAGTATTACTAAGAAAGAATATGTATTTCACATAGTTTTTTTAACAAAGAGAACTATTCGAAAAAATAATTTTTAAATTTGATTAAAATTGAGCACATAGACTACACGACAAAATGTCAAAAATCAAAACAGACAATATTGTCTACTCTTAGTCATGTAGATACTTGAAGTATCATAATACTATTAAAACATATTTTGACTGCTTATGCTTGAAAGAATTACTCACTTTAACTTCTAGATTTATAATGTTCTATTCAAAATTTTAAAAATGATAAAAAAATATCTGAAATATGTTACAGCTGTTTTCACATTTTTTATATACCAAAAGGATATATATTATGATATGGTAAAACATTTATTTAAGGCCAACAAAATATTTCGTCTGTTTATAGTAAATAATTAAACTTTTAAAAAATATTTTATTTGCACTCTGAGATAATTTTATCTTTAGCTGTAAATGATCAAAAATCCCAATAAATTGGTTCAGGGAAAGGTATTCATATAATTGTAGTAAGAGAAACCAACAACAGACAAATACTTTAACTTGGCCTAATTCTTACACACTACAGTACCCAAATTTCCTCTTTGCATTTTATACATTGTTACAATGTTTATGATAATTATGATATGTATAATTTTCTGCACTTTTGTACATATTAAAACATTTATGTTGTCAAAGTGTCCACTAAATCTGTTGTTAAGTTACACGTAATATTTGGATATACCTATTTTTTCATGTTAGTGTCAATTTTATTTGAAGAGCAAAATGCTTTAGATACGTAGGAAGATGTTACATTCATTTTGAAATTTTTGATGTTGTCACGTGATAATTAATTGATTGTTCACTTTTGATAATGATTTACTGTTTTAGTGTTAAAAGTCTGATTTTTTTATTTATTGATAATGAATGGTTAGTAACTCTCAGGATTTTAAGAGGTACATAAACTTTTCTCTTTATTTTGAACAATGGTTTCATGTTATAAAATGGAATACATCTCTGTGATTTTATTCAGATTCAATTTCTTCATGTTGTTGGATAACTATATTTTTTTTTAAAACTTGATAAATTTTACAATCAAATTCTGCATAACAATCACATAATCTGAACAAAAGTTTGATAATGATAGTTATTGACAGATGTAAGATGCACTGCATTTTCTTCAACTGATTTGTTTCCGAACTCGTTTGCCGTTATTTTCTGGCGAGGCATAAAATGTGATATCCCGGTGAATCAGTGTTAATGCTAATGTTTTTGTGTCGTTGTTTTGCTGTCTCACATAAATCCAGCATCTTTTATTCATGTGTATTCATTATTTGAAAATTTCATGTTTTGTCTAGTTTTTATTCGTATTTACTATCTATCTCTCTTTTTAATAATATGATCAATGATAAAGACGCTAAACAGTTCAGTTATTATTGTTTATAAAAAGATAAGTCCCCAAAAACATAAAATGAAACGCCATAGTGAAAAACATTCAGGAGGTTTATCATCAAATGAAATTAATACTTTGAAATTTCGTGCGTCCATAAAAAAAGTTAATTAGTATCTTACTTGGAAAATCATTTTAGGCAAAACTGAGTGAACATTTCTATAACTATGCTGAAACAAAAATGATGAAAGTAAAATAAAATCAACTTAGTGTGATATTAAATACACATTCGTTTTGCAGGATATTTTCATCCTCTAAGGAATATATTCATGTGATTTCTTCAAATCTATATAAATTTGAAGAAGCTAATATCCTAGTCTTTTACAAGTCTGGTTTTGAGCATTCGAAGATGTTAAGAACTAATTTTTTATGTATATAAGCAACGACAATTAATCTTTCTCTCATAGTGAAGAGCTCTTCATTCTAGGGCAGATAATGTCATTGAGTTACAAATGCCATCGAGGAATAGATAGATGTTAATATGGTGTATTTATTATTTAACTATACTAGTCATATTTTTTTGCATTTTGCTTGCCAAATTAACATGTATTGTTGAAGTGCTATGTTTGTTCTTGTTAAATTATTTCTTTATTTTCATTAAAAAGGGTTCATAAAGACGTTGTTAAATTGTTTTGTAAATAAACCTTGCTTTCAAATACCACTTTGTCCATTTTCACTTATCCCGAAATCAGCATTTTCTACGCATGATCGTAAACCTGCTGCTAGAATGGTTGATGACGTCAGTTCTTCGGTTTGTGTAGACCCAGAAACATCGAATTTTCATTTGGAAGTTAATTGAATCTGAAAATATTATAGTAGGATGTTTTTAAGGAAACATTTTTGAAAGTTGAAAAGAAAATATGACATAATTTGGTGACAGAAAAAACTTTCATCGAAAAAATAATATAGATATAACTTTTGAAAGCTTGAAGGTTTATCGTTCCGTTTTCTGAATAGAAATAAAACTTTGTGAACCCTTTTAATCTTTATCTGTGATATTCCATGATAATAGATACATCATTTGGAATGTTTCTTCTTTTTTCTTTGAGGTCGAATTCCGAAAACTGTAAATATTGGTTAAATATGTTGTGTTTACATTAGATGTATTCTGAATTAGCACTTTTATATAGTTGATGTAACCTATCCAGTCACGTGTTTGAGCAAAGCTTGAACATTTTGTTTTGTTTTGTCTTAAAATATGTTTATTAAAAAATGCAAAAATCTCTTTTGTTGATACAGTAAAAAAAGACTCATCACATATACCAGGCTTATAACTTTGCACGCCTGACTCGTCTACGATGCCAAATATAAAACTTAAAAGGCCTAATAAAAATAGAACTTGGGAATCCACAAATCCGAAAGGGTTTGCAAAATACAGCTAAGTTAATCTTTTTCTTGGGTAGAACATCCTTAGTATTTCGAACAGCTAATTTATAAATATGAAGACCATATCAATAAGTCAAAGATACAAAAGGATAGATTATTAAATAATACTAGTAAGCGAAAGAAAGACACACAGCAAAATGGCCAAAGAAAAAAGGAAAAAAAGTCACACAAGTCCCCAAAATAAAGGGCATAAACTAAAGACTGGATAACAATAACTTACTGAAAATCGAGGGTGAACTCATGTACTGCGGAATGTTCTAAAGTTCCTGCTAATCTAAATTGATAATCCCTTTGTCTGTGTAAAAAGTTTTTCTCAGGCAAGACTGAATTAGAAAATTATAAATGAAATACGAACAGTTAACTGGTGTTCCAAAAGGCATGTTTTAAATTGTGTACTGTATCCAATTCTTATCGGTATTATACCTACCTACCTAAGTGTCTATCTACGTGTTTCCAAACGCAGGAGGTCAGTTTGCTCCTCTATATTTGGCTCTGTTTCATCATCACTAACTACAGTTGTGCTACTTCCGGTGTTATATGTGTATTCAGTGTTAAAGTTATATATCATTGGGTGGTCTTTCCAATGCTTGTCTAGATGAAGTTCAAAAATATGTACGTTCTTTGCAGTCACTACGATGTCTGGTAGGCTATTCCACACTTCCACTATTCGGTTAGTAAAGTAGTACATGTATTTCCTATGTATAGTCTGCTTCTGTTTTTAACCAATTTTATCGAGTTGCCTCTTGTTGTCGAGCTTGTGTTACGCGTAAATAAACCTTCTGTTACTCTTGAGTCATATACTCCTGTTGTTATCTTGTAGGTTACTATCATGTCGCCTCTTAGCCTTTGAAATTTCAATTTAGAAATTTTCAGAGTTTTCAATCGTTCTTCGTATGACAGATCTTTGAGGTTAGGTAACATTTGTTTTGCTCTACGTGGGACGTTTTTAATTGTCTCGATATCTTTTTTTTTGTACGGGTTCCATACACTACTAGCATATTCAAGACGAGCTAATGCATCAAAAAGTATAAAGAAGCTTTTGCAATCTAAATATTTAAAAATCGTCTAATAATTCCAACTAGTTGGTTTGCTTTGTTTTCTTGTGTCTGTATATGGTTATCGAATTTCAGTTTGGAATCTATAGTTACTCCTTCATCTTTCTCTGATTGAGCTGTTTCTAGTGTAATTTCAGATCCATTGTATGTAGACATTTTATATTTTCTCTCCCCAGAAGTGGATTTGGTAGGAATTTGTAATACTTTGCATTTGTCCAGGTGGAAACGTATTAGTCATTTTTCATTCCATTTGAACATACTATCTATGTCATTTTGCATTATTGTGTTGTCAATTTCGCTGTTTATAAATCTATATAGTTTTTTGTCGTCTGCAAACATGAATACATCAGACTCTGCACACGACGGCTTATCGTTTATAAAGATAACAATCAGGATTGGTCCCCAAACTGATCCTTGTGAAATACCACTGGTAACATCATGCCATTTTGAAAATTTCCATTGATTTGTACTCTGTGTTAGCGGCTGCTCAGGATGTTCTGGATCCAATTGCATGTCTGTAAACTCATGCCATATGATGCAAGTTTGTTAATAAGTCGTCTATGTGGGACTTTGCCAAACGCCTTCATAAAATCAGTATAAACTGCATCAATCGGTCCACCACTGTTTAAAATATTGGTCCAGTGATCTAGGAATTTAAGTAATTGTAATGAGGTTGATCTTCCTCGAATGAAATCAAAGTGTCTCTCACTTAACAAATTATAACGATTTATTTGATCTACGATTTTTTTTCTCATAAGTTTCTCCATCAGTTTGCAGATACTACTAGTCAGGAAAACAGGTCTGGAATTAGAACCTAGTTTCTTGTCACCTTTCTTAAAGAAAGCTGTAATTTGGCCAATTTTCCAATCTTTCGGTACAGTACCTGTTTTAATTGAGCTTAAAAAAATCATACATAGTGGGGCATCAATTATATCAGTTAGTTCAAACAATACTTTTGGATGTACCTGGTTTGCTCCTGATGATTTCGAGGTGTTTATTTTGTTTAGAAGTTTGTTGATCTCTCTGGTTTTAAAATTTTCATTACTAGATTCTTCAACATATGTAATATTTTCAGTAAATGTATCATAATTAACTTCAATAGTGCTCAATAGTGATATGGATGCTGCAAATTATATTGCTAGAGCATGCTTAGCTCAAATTTATACGAGAAATAACCACTTGTCACAATAGAAGCAACTCTTTTGGTGACTGTCATTCTTGAAGTCTACAACCTTCAACAACAAATAATTACATTAGATGTATGTTTCAACTTAATACGTTATTCTGATTGGCTAACTACAATCTCGCGTTATTCCTAAATCAACTTCATTACACAATGAAATTTATCATTCATGATGACACGAGGTCCCACAATAAAGTGCACAAGTAAATTAAATAAAAACTTGATAAAAATCGTGTGTTCATGATCCTAGCTAAAAAATGTAATTATAAGTATTGAATGCTTCTTTTTGTAACTTCATAGGGTTGTAAAAGCGTTGACCGTGCGTACATTTTTAGAATGAGGCGCTTCCGCGCTTCATACAAAATGTACTTCGGTCAACGCTTTTACACCCCAATGAAGTTACAAAAAGAAGCATTCAATTTTTAATGGAAAATTTCAAAACAGCTATTTGAGTGCATACTATTTTGAGTGGCTATATTCTTTGTGAGTAAACTTTTACAGGAGTAAGATTTCATATATGAGAAAAGATTCGACAGACTAATTACCAAAAGGAAGTCAAAGAAACAACAAACACATTAAGATAAAACCCGGTTTAAAGAGCAACACCACTTAAACAGGGCATCCAAGGATACAGGCACGCTATATTTTACATGAAAGAATTGATGGCATTACCCTCCTATTTGTGTTGAAATACACGTTTAAAGAAGAGGAGAAAACGAAACTGTACCATTAGACAGAAAATTGATCATGCATTAAAAAATGCTTTAGATGTAACATGTGTAATGGGTTGTCTTTAACAATAAATTAAAATCTTATAAATAAACACAACAGTAGTTTCTCGATGTTCAAATCGCACATATCCATTACGAACATACAAATTCAAGTTAACAAAAGAAGCAAAAACTGAGAAAATTGCACGAAATCCACAAGGAGCGTGCCAAAGTTGAAGCTTCCTGTCCTACATGCAACATCCATCATGTGAATCCACACTCAGTCAAATGTCACAATAAGCAATAGAACCCTATCGGTAAATTTACAGACCAGACGAATGATCTGGTAAATAAAGATATAAGACACCGAAACATGTCTTAGTGAGTTGAGACACAGACAGATTTTTCAGTCAACCTATTCGTGAGGGTGTGTCAATATCGAGGAAGAAATATATAGTTTCGGTATTGTCTTTGATTAAAGATCACAGTTGACCTCCGATCAATTTGGATATTCTTTTTATGTCATAGAGCTCTTAACACTTCTACGTATTTATACATCCCTAGCTTTCAAACGTTGTAATTTGTGGGTTCCAGGTGAAGGTAAAACCAGAAAAGTGCTTCGGACTCAAAGATGCGTTATTTTCATTCACTCGTATATATGAGATGCAAGCACACACTTAAATGTATACAAAATAAAACAAGAATAACTGAACTCGCATAAACGGTACTCTTTTGAAAATTAACGAAATATTGCGTAACATATGAACTGACATGTATATTTAAGTTGAAAAAGAAAAAAGAAGATGCTGAAATTCTTCTTGATTGGATTGTTGTTGATATTGGTCAATATATGGTATCTCAATGGATGAATTATGTCCATGGCTCAAAGTCATTTTTAAAAACATTCACGTTACCATGAGACCGCTTACCCTGTCGGTACATCCGGTCTTGCTTTTTTTTTTTGTGTGGAGTTTATGCTTTTTCCTCAGGTTTAGTTTATTAATCAATTTATGAGATTTAAACATTGATAAATTACTGTTGCCAAAATTTTAAAGGCAACACAATGAGTTATTGATACAAAAAAACAAGACCTCAAATCATCGTATACATATTCAAAACACTTTACTCACTGCTTGATAACAGAGTACTACAGAAAGAGATTTATTACCGGTTTTTTTTTTTTGCTTGAGCAACACGACAGGTGATACATATGGAGCCGTTACTGCTTACACTTCTGGAGCACATGAGTTACCCTTGGTTGTTGGCAGGGTTCGTGTTGCTTGTCTTTAGTTTTTCTAAGTCATGTTTGATACTGTTGTCTGTCCTTTCTTTTGTCGTGTTTTGACTCATTATATATACCGGGATTAACATTTTGGATGCCAGACGCGTTTAGTCTTCAAGATGTTCATTAGTGACGCTCGAATAAAAAAAGTTTAAAAAAGGCCAAATTAAGTACGAAGTTAAAGAGCATTGAGCACAAATACCGAAAGGTTTTACAAAATACAGCTAAGGTAATCTATTTCTAAATGTCTTAATCAAAATTCAAAACTTTTAACGATTTATAATATAGACTTTATCTGTCTATTGCCGAAGGCTGTATGAGAACCTCTATATATCTTTAGGTAGTTTGTTTCGTTGGTTTGCTGACATATACTCCAGATGTAGTTTTACTAAAAGAGTGTAACAAAAGTACAGAACTCAAAGGCAAATTCAAAAATGGGAAGTCCATAAAAACTGACAAAATCAAACACTATCAATCAACGGAACAAGTGAAAAACAACTGACATATTCCTGACTTGGTACAGGCATTTTCCGAAGAAATGGTGGGTTAAGCCTGGTTTTATAGCTAGCTAAACCTCCCACTTGTATGGCAGTTGTTTATACTTCCT